GAAGGCTTTTAACTTGATTTGGAAGGTTCCTTGCACTAGATAGTGAGTGGTGTGAACCTACATCTGCTCCTCTTCTTGACCTTGTGTTAAGTAGACTGCGTCTCCATTTTCTTGAGATTGAGATAAAGTCGATTTGATTTTTAGTGTGTCCATCTGGTGAAATCCATGTCGCTTTGTGGATATCTTTGTGCCTGAACACACTGCCTCACCAATCACCAAATCGTTGAATGCGCAGAATTTTGCAAACAATTCTCCATTCTCATTCATTTCACCTAGTGCCTCTCGACCCATGGTTAGTTCTCTTCCCGTGTTGTCCCCTCCCAGTTTGGCATTCATGTCGCCCATCAGAATTTTGATATCGCCAACTGACGTCTTGTCCAGTGTTGGTTGAAGTTGTCTGTAGAAATCCTCCTTTTTCTCTTGCTCTGCATTATTTGTAGGTGCATAACATTGTATGATTGTGACCTTTCTTCCTTTTGAGTTGAATCTTGCTGTCATGATCCTGGAGGAGATTGGTTCCCACTGCATGAGAGCCTTCGATGCTCTTGAGGACATCATGATAGCCACTCCATAACTCAGTGTGCTCGTGGTTGGCGTCTGGGTGACCGGAGTAGATTATTGATTCTCCAGTTGACAGTTTGGAGAGTCCACTCCCATTCCATCTGCTTTCGCAAATCCCAAGCACTTCGATGTGATACCTTCTCATCTCCTTTGCAATCTGGGCTGCCTTACTGGGTTCAAACATGGTGCGGACATTCCATGTCCCCACGTTTACTTTCGCTTTCATCGAGAGAGAGACACATCGGCCAATTGGCTTCCCGAAGGCTTTCACCAACTGGCGTCATTTCGCCTCTCCGATTCCAGCGGGGAATAAGTTTGTTTTCATTTTTTATATTTTGTTTGTGCTTTGAAGTTTGTTTAGCGGTTAGATTTGTTTTACGGGGTAGGGTTGCTAGCCCTATGCCCAACCTTCCCTCTTTACCCGGGCTTAGGACCGGCTAGTAACTAGTAAACTAGTTAACCAGGCGAGGTTGTTCCACACACACACACACACATACACACAAATCTCTCGATTGAACATTGATGGTCACTTTGAAAATCTCTATAACCAATTCAGTCTTCTTTTCCCTACATCTTAAGATAATCAAAGTTAGTTAAGGGCTAAATTAGTTGATATTGCTCAGCAATTCCATAGTTCAGAAATAAGACAAAGAAGCATTTCGAGTTCATAGCACTTGAAACATCTTTGAAAGAATTACAGAACAGATCAGGTATAATCATTCTCAAACCCAATATTATTATTATTATTATTATTATTATTATTAGTCCCTTGGGTTCCTAGTGGAACATAGGGCTTCAGTAGCACGTCTTCAGTGACCTCTGTTCTCTGAGATCTTTTGAACCCGGTTCCATGACAGCCCAGAAGCTCTCATTTCCTGCTCGCACGACCTCCTCCATGTCACCCTCGGACGTCCAACTCGTCGCTTCCCATGGGGATTCCACTCCAGCAACTGGCCTGACGCGTGATGTCCCCAGTTGGCCTTCTCAGTGCATGCCCAATCCATCTCCACTTCCTCCTGCATATTTGTTGCGTGATAGGTTCTTGGTTGGTTCGTTCCCAGAGCTCCTTGTTGCTTATTCTCATTGTTCTGGCCATCTGATCTTCAGTAGCGAGTGAGCGTAAGCAGTTGTTGATGAATATCTGTAGTTTATTGGAAATCCCTTTCGTGACGCGCCAAGTGATAAATAAATTTAACTATAAAAATAAAATGCTAGTTATCCTCTTTGATGAAAGGATATTCATAGCCGATGTCTCATCAGAAGATATTAGAAAATTGGCAACAAAAGTAACCGCTCATTAAGTAAAGCTTTTGAATATGAATGCCATTAGCAAAGAGGAATTTAATTTATTGAAACCTATGGGATCCCAATTTCCAAATTTATATGAATTACCTAAGTTTCATAAAGTCAATAATCATTTGCATCTTACATTGTCTGTGTGTCGTTCCTCCTACACATAAACTGGTTAAAATGGTTGGTGAAAATGTTAAATCCATTTCGAAATGAATTCTGTAAGTTTTCATTGAAAGATTCTCTTCAAATTGTTGACCGTTTCAGTAACATGAATATCAAAAGAAGACTATGTACTCTTTCGATGTAAATTCCTTATTCACTAACGTGCCATTGTCCAAGACTATTAGCAGTCTTTGTGACTATGTATCTTCTAAAAACCTCTCATTTCCTATTATTTCAACCCTTCTAAGGGAGGTATTATTGCTGTGTACGGACAAAGTCTACTTCACATTTGAAGGTGAACGCTTTCGACAAGTTGACGGTGTAGCTATCGGAAGTCCTTTAGGACCACTACTAGCTGATATTTATGTCATATATCGAAAATCTGGCTGGTGATCTCATCGCTAAAGTTCCTCTTTACAATAGATATGTTGATGACATCATAGTGGTTTGTGAGAGACATGAGGATATGGGTTGTTTACTAAACAGACTTAACACCGTACAAACTCACACCAGCCTGACTTGTTAAGAAGAGGATAATAATCAACTGCAGTTCCTAGATATACTTCTGAGTCGACGAGAAGATGGTTCAATAAAACGGTCAGTTTAGAGAACGCCTATACGGGGAGGACAATACATGAATTTTCATGGTTTTTGTCCAATCTAATTCAAGCGAGGTCTAATAAAATGCCTGTTTAATAGTATCTATCGTGTCAATGCACCAGATACAATGAATGAAGATATTAAATTACTGATCAAAGCACTTACGGAAAATCGATATCCGATGAAGTTTATCAAACATTGCAGAGGTCAATAGCACCACAGGCAACTGTATACATGGTTCCCTCTACCATACAGAGGGGAGCTAAGTAGTATCATTTTGAGACGTAGGCTGACATCAGCCATTAAGAAAACATATTATGCAGCTAATCTTATCACTGTGGAGTAAACAAAGCGAATGCTTCACCACAAACTTAAACACTTCATCAGTGATTACGTAGAATCCCATTGTGTTTACCGGCTTACATGTATGTGTGTAGTGATACATACATAGGGAGGAGTAATCGAGTCATGCAGTTGAGAGTTGGAGAACATGTACCTAAATGGCTTCAAAATAAATGGAGCGTGAAACAGTGATAACCACTAATGGGAGACGACTCTCTTCATCTATAGCGAAACATATTATAGAAACAGGTCACAAAGTTAATGTTCAAACAGCTTTCAAAGTTTTATATGTAAAGGAATTTAATAACAAGGAAGGACATGAAGCGGGAATGATAAGATTTGAAGATAACCTTGTTCATTCGATAAGGTTAACCTTCTAGGATGGGTTCAGCATAAGGATAAACTGATTTTGAACACATAACGGGGGTTAGAATTAGTGTACTTCTATTTTAGTATCAATCTCATAACCTTTATCAGTAATTTGTTTTGCAGTGGACGATGATGGCTAGCTACCACCTTAGTTTATCAATATTTGTGAATCTACCCACTTTTGTAGCCTTTTTAGTGCATGTTCCCCTAACCTCAAGTGCATATCTCTATTAGTTCTCCCTATGTTAGTGTGTCTACACACATAAGTGTAAATTGATAAGTGCAGTGGGATGTGACGCAATTGTTTATACAATGTTCAGGTCCGTGTTGCGGCATGTGTTTGGTTTTCTCACCCACTATATACCTAACTGCATAGTATATTTTTGTTAATGTTAGACCTAAGCCTTCGTTTTAAAATTAAGTTACAAGATTCCCCTGTGGATAATAGCATGTTTTAAACACATTTCTTCGGAAAAGAATACAGACTATGTCTGATTTCTGATATTTTTATGATGATGTTTATAACGACCAAAAAATGGGAAACATGAATAAGTCATGTTATTTGATTTATTTTAAAAGGTAATTGACTTATGACTTAACTGGTAATATTATTGTGTGGCTCAGCTAAGGATCTTTCAGTTTAACCCTCATCAATTTCTAGATGCTGTGGAGTTTGGAAACAGTTGTTTGTTGAACTACATCAGTTATTGGATATTATCACCTCATTCTTTGTGTATGAAATTGGTTGTTTCACTTTTATACATTGTGGCGTGTTGTGGAAATGTAATTTCCTTTTACATGTACATAATTAGATGGACAAATATAAATTTCGAAATGATGGAATCCAGGATGCACATTTCCTCTTGTTCGGCATTCATCAGCTGGACGTGTATGTCTCCCACTGTTGTCCCCGTTTGGACTCGGGCTCGAGACCTTTCACTTCAAACCCCGCAATGTTATCCACTACACCACCGAGCCATAATCTCTTTTCTTGTGTCCACACACGAGCACATATGCCAATAGAGACGCATCAATTCGGTGCAATCAACGACTGTATAAACGTTGTGTTCCGTTGTACAAGGTTTGAAAGGACAAGTTGCTTGAGCATAAAACAGGTGGCAAGTATATGCGTGACTAATCACGTACAAGGTCACAGTTCCATGGGACAACATATACTGATCGAGAAACAGGCACAGAATTATGAGCATGAAAAACAAATAAACATGCCTTTCTATATTACAACAGAATCATTTTAAGCAGGAAGCTATCGTTTGTGTAGTAGGATAAAAACCTTTACATTTGATTAAAGTGAATAGAAGACTCATAAAACCTAATGAATTAAGTTGTGTTACTAGGTCAACATTTGATCTTGAAATCTAACTTGATTTACATAAGCATAAAACACAGTTCAGCGAGTATGCATCGTATGATTATTTTACTGGTTATAAGTGGGAATATACCATTGAACATTGAAGCCTATAAAAATTTTTCAATGTTGAAAATTATTCAGTACAGACAATGAAAGATTGAAACGAAAAAAAAGAGTAGAAATAAGGCTAGGGATCTAAATAATGTAGAAATTTTATCAAAACAAGTAACACTTGTTTTGTACATGAAAAGGCGTGTTCCACATGTCTACATTTATCTGTTACTAGAAGAAAGGAGTTGAATAATTAGCCTCTGTGTGGAAATAATTCTATCGAATATCCTTGAAGTATGCAGTCGATAGGATCATCTTCAATGTATCCAATTTTAATGGTACCTGTAAGGTAGCAAAAAAAAGGTTTTCAACAGTTTTATTTTTATACTTTTCATAAAAGAGGCAATTTTAAAAGAATGTTTACAGAGAAATTTCGACTATTTGATAAAATTCGAAATTATTTTCAAAATAAATCAGGGTAACGAAGACGAAAAAGTCATATGGAACATATTTACTTTCTTAAAGTGGAGTCTTCCTTCTAACTACTTGTCTATTATTCCACCTATTTGTTCAACGGTAGTCTTTTCAATAATTTAAAAACCCTTTATTACATCATGAAAGAAAGTAGATTCAGCAAAGTGCTGTTCTTCTCAGCAACTCATTTTCAACTTGTATATTCACAAATATTTAATTGGCAATATAAAGAGATTATTTTTGAAGATCTCCTACTAAATATTCCATTTTTCATGTACAATTTGAAGATTCATAAAGGAATGATTCAGTGTGAAGAAAGTAGTGTAAGAAGATGAAAACAAGTGATTCAGTGTGGAGATTCTTTTCAGCGACTTCATTATCTAAGCGCTACAAACATATTTTTCATACAATGTTTTCATGAAAATATCCAACTTCTTTTATGTGTGAAAGCATGGTACAAAACAAGGTGATACATATTTAAAAAGTTGAAATATTCTCATCTTAGATTAATCAAAACGTTTATGAGTGTTCAGTTCACCTGCTCCTAGACAGCTGATCGTTCGGCGTCCTGTCATTCGTCATATCCATATTCAAGAACACTGTTTGCTATCTTACTCATTTCGTTATTATTCGTCTTTTTATTGATTTTGGTGACTAGCAGAGGAAACCGAGACGTGCGTTTCTTCTTACTTGAGACTCACCAGCTGGATGCAGTTGTATCTCAGTGAGTGATGTTGCTCCTACTTAGGCTTAAATTCAGTATCCGTCGCTTCAAATGCCAAAGCGTTATCCACGATAGGTATCTCTTGTACAACAAGTATTAGTAATTGTTTTGATACTGGTAACTTCTTGTTGTTATACAGAACTGAACTGCTTGACCTTTGTTGACTGATGGGTGGTTATGCGAATGCTTCCATACTGTCGGATATTCATGATGTTACATTGATCTTGGTGACAAGCAGAGGAGACTAGGACATACGTTTTGTCCTGTATGGGATTCATCAGCTGGATGTACCTTTCGATTACTTTTCATCACTAGTAAATCTCTTGACTATTTTGAGAAGAAAATCATATTTAAAATTTTTGAATATGTATCACCTTGCTTGTTCTCATACTTTGATATATGAAAGAAGTTATATATTCTCATGAAAACGGTGTATGCAAATATGTTTGTACTGGTTAGATGATGAAGTCGGCGAAAGGAGTTTCTGTACTGAACCACTTGTTTTCATTTTTCTTATATATGGCAATCAAATAAAGATCTATCATCGATGCTGGCTGATGATTTGAAGTGAAATAAAAATTTCAGTCTTGGCGGATTCGAACTAGTAACGTCAGGGTTTCTGACCCAGTGAAATACCAACTGACTTACCACGCCTGACTACTGACCAAGGGTTTTTGACTGACTTTCACGTGAATTCATGATGAATTACTACCACTTGATTATGCTCATACTAGCTGCTATTCAGAAAATTTTTGTCCAAATTCAAGTCTACTTGAATTCCAGAGAGGCGGGGAGTATAATATTGATTGTAAGTGAAGTGAACAAGGAAGGCAGGATTAAGAAATTAGGTTATATGATACATCACAGTAGACGGAAATGAGTAAAATTCAACGACTAAAAATCAGAATGTTAAGTGGGAGGAATACCTAATCGTTGAGTAACAGTAACATTTGAACGTTTTCAAAGACAAAGTGTCCATACAGGTTAAGCTCAATGTATACAGATTTGGGCTTTACCATATGAATCACCGTCATTTCCGCAGTTCCAAGAATTTCGAATCACACACCTCAATACATATTATTTTATTTTAGTTTGTTTATAGGGGCTTTACTTATTTCAAGTCAATGTTAGTCATGAGATGACATCATTTAGAGAAATAACCAACCATGAGGCTCCTCACCATTTCAAATTCAGTAACTTACCGTAATAAAACTGAGAAACTTCACGTCACGTGGTGAACGCGTTAATCAACCAGTTATTAAAGCGGAGTTCAACGGTCCACTGTTTCCTAGTTCTGTCAGTTCATGGTAGAGCACAGTCTTCACTCATTGCCATCCATCAGTATTTATCCTCAAATCTGACTTATATATCAAAAACCTTTCAACTTGATTAATTCTGAAAAATTCTCTTGGCAGTATATTGGTTATCAATATACTGTTATCCGAAAAGAAATCAAAGGTTTTCAATTTTTAGAAGTTTCCTCCTACAGTAACACATCTAACTTGTTCTATCTGGTCTTAAGTAACTCTTTAAACAATATTCATATAAGATAAAAACGTTGTTTACTTCTTCCAGTTAACAGTGTTCTAGTTTGTTTTACAAAGGTAATGAACCGACCGATTCAATGCTTACACGCAGTTTATGAAGTTATGAAAAGAAAAAAAAACATTTGAAAAAAAAGGAATTTTTTCATTTTACTATCTTGTACACCCTATACACTGTATAGATTACAGTCTAAATAAAGAGGATAGAGTGTAAATGTTTAACTCAATGTATCTAATTCATCTCTCCTATTCAAAGGTGAATGAATGCTGATTTCATTTAAATAAACTTCAGTTTGTTTGTGGTTTGTTTTTTGCCAAAGATATTTTGTTATTTTCTATACTCATTACAATGAGAAGAAACTTGTTAAACTAACTTTCTCTTCCTGTTAATTGTCTGTTATTTTCATTACACATGAATAATTTGATGAAAATACACTTCAAAATTGAGAAATGTCAGGTGTAGGAAAAACAGAAAATAGGAAATAAAACCAACTTCAAAACAGTTTTTCCCATAACTAGACAACAGTTAGAGGATTATTAAAGTCTGAATTACAATAGATGTCTGTTTTGTCATCTCTTTCAAAGGACACTTCAATAATCCCTTTATATGAACTATCGTCTTGAAGTCCTATATTCGTTTCCAGTTACGTATGAAAATGCATATAAAAAGTACCTTTTCAAGAAGAATTCAAAGTGAAGTAAATGGAGAGAAACAGCAATTTACATTTCATTATTCTCTATCTAGTTAAGTAAATTAGACCATAAGGAAGATAAAATATTCCTGCAAAACTGAAACTAATGAGTAACTGAATTACTAGATGGTATTTCCTCTTTATGTAGCCAAATCATCAGTAAAAAAAATATTGATGACTGACTGAAAAAATCATCCAAGAACCTCACAAAACAAGCCCATCACTTCAAGTTGGCACACTTCACAGTAGTGCATAAAGAACAGGTGGATATATAAAGAGTGAAATAAACGTGGATGAAGTAGTGTCAAAGAACAAACAATCTGAAGGTAATAGGTAGTACAAATAATCAAGTTTTAAAGGATCTCAAGGAGTGAATATATTTTCACCACCATGACAGATTTTCTGCCATGTCATTAAGACTCCTCAACAACTATTTTCTACCATCTTGTAAACCCTAACCAGGTAGTCTATATCTGGACATATAGCTCGAACCAATAGTCCGGGATTTCATTGACTGATGTCGTGTCTTGGTTTGGTCACCCTAAACCCTCCTCAAACCTAAACGAAATTCCCCTAATGTGGTGCATGAAGGTGGATTGTGGCCCGGTATGTACAGTACATGTCCAAGGCATCATAGTTGATAAAGGCTCACAGCTTTGTCGAACACTTAGGCATTTAATTAACCCTACTTTGACTTAGATGAGCTGAGATGATTTGAAGTCTAAGTAGTGATTCGAATAGGAAGATTTTCAGTAAAGCAAAAACGTTTACTAGTAGGCCTGAAAATCTACGAAAAGAAAGTAGATGCATCAAGAATACCTTGCGTCTCAGTAGTTACCCACCTTTATTTGTAAATAAATTTATAAGACGTCGAAGGAAAATACTACCAATAGTAGTAGTAGTAGTAGTGTACTGGGTGTTACTGATCAGGATGAATATAAGTAATATATATTGAAAGAGCGGCAGAAATCAAGGGGAATTACCAGCAATGAGTAAGAATTCTGCCCAGAACAAAAAACAATAGACAATGCGGGAATATTAAGAACAAAGCGAGATAAAAGCAGAAGAGGAAACGAAGGACATTATGCAAATGACTGTCTTAGTGAAAGGTGTACCGTATTTGATAACTACTGTACAAGATGTCGATAATAAACAATCACTCCTTCTTCTGTCTTCTCATTTGATTCAATAGTAGTAGTAGTAGTAGTAGTAGTAGTAGTAGTAGTAGTAGTAGTAGTAGTAGTAGTAGTAGTAGTAGTAGTAATGATAGTAATAGTAGTAAAAGTATCACGGGTGTTATCCACAATAATTCTGCTACTAATAGTAATAAGAGTGATAGCGCTGAGAAAGAATTCAAAGCCAATGCTGCGTTAACATACAAGAAAAGCACCTCACAAGGATTACGAAGGCTTCTCTACAAGGCTAAGATTAAAATGGCATTTAAATCAACAAACACTCCTAGAAACAAGATATACATCAACTGATAATTACTCAGTGGTTAAGTTTCTTTCTGACACCTCACAAATCATCAACTGTGTTACTTAAAACTAGTCCATTCAACTGTTAGCATTAGGCAATTGATTTCCCCCAATCGAAGTTGTCAACTACGCATGAATAGTGTGGTGTACATCCATAACACATGGTTTCATTTTACCCACTGACTATTGTCAGTCTCTTCATTTAAACAAGTAAAAGTAAAGATTATATACTTGATTTTCATTATAGGTTTGAACAAAGTTTACAAAGCACTGAGATGTTTTGTAGTGATTGATGAACTTCAAAAGTTACACGTAATTCATTAATATAAGAGTAAAATGTGGCATTGTGATCCAATGTAATTAATTCTATTTCAGTCTGTTTTTAATTAGAAATGTCACACAGTGAAGGAATAGTATCATTTACTGGATA